TGGAAAAAAAATCCTTGCAAACTTCCAGGGACGTTCAGACTTCCTTCTGCCCTGGGGCCATGGCTCACCTGTATTGCCTGGCTCGGTCCATGTACTCGTGCTGCTCCATCTGCTGTTGATCAGCAGCTGAAACATCAATGATGTTGCTGCAAAAAAGCAAAGGCTGGGGATTAGGAAGGCTCTCGTCTCCTGCCCTTCCCACCCCACCCCATCCTCTGAGTGGTTCTCCCACATTCAGTCCAGGCAGAGAGAAGAAGGTTGCTGACCAGCAACACAATCCTAGATGGCCAGAACATGCACTCCCAACCCAGGCAAACTTATGGTGAGAAAAATATGCCCTTTCATGGTTTTGGACTCCAGTTCTCAGAATTCCCCGAGAAATCCCCAAGCAGAATTCTGCGGGTTTCGTCCCATAAACACACCCCTACATTCTGCTCCACTGAAAGATGAGCCTACATCCCGCACCGTGGCCACCTCTGGGGCTACATCCCCTCCTCTGGTTGTTAATGTACAAAACAAAGAGAGGCAACTGCTGCAGTGTTTCCTAGGAGTTGCAGTTCTTCAGGAGGTGCCCTCTATGGAGCCAAAGGAGCAGCAAAACTACAACTCCCAGGAAGCACTACCGTACCTTTAAAAAAAATGAACAGAAGCACAGGCAGGAGGAGGCCATGCAGCTCAGAGGTCGGCCCTTCTCCAGGTGAGCCAAGGGTGGGTGTTTGTTGTAGGTGCATGTCTGGGGGCTGAAATTCCCAGAATTCTGGCTGGAGAATTCTTAGCCAACAGGAGTCCAAAGGAAAGAAGGAAAGAACCGACGCCGGTGTCACCCGGAGGTCTTCAGAGATGAACTGGCTCTAAATACAGGGTTTCCTTGAGCTCTCGTGGGTCCACCAGGTTCTTCACATGAGATTCCTCAGGCACAGTATATCCCAGTTCAGGAGGGGAGGGGGCTTAGGCCACGTCTTCCCTCGCCCCCCAGTGTCCCCCCCCTTTTCTTTGCATAAGAGAGACGAAAGACTTACATGGCGGTTTTGGCAAGGATGGAGGAGAGCAGGGCCTGCTCGTCCGTCCGGGCTGACGGTGGGCTGCTCCAACTCGGCTCTGTGCCATTTAATGACTTGTTAGGGGGCGTGGAGGCAGGGGGCAGCAGGGGCTTCGACTCTTCCCCCTGGGGTCAAGGAAGCAAGAAGAAAAAGGAGGACCTGTCAAGCCAGAGGTTTGCAAAATACGCGCCCTGGCAGGGGGTCACAAAGCAGCCCATCCCTACAAGAACCTTCAAGAATCTGGGGCCCTCCAGAGGCGCCAGATGACCAGCCCCCCCTATGATCCTCCAGCTGCGGCCGGACGGGAGACTGCAGAACAAGCAGGAGTCCAAAACGTTGGGCAGGTACCGGGCCGAAGGATT